GGAGCCGCCCGCCACGCCCGCGGGGCTGGGCTCGGGGGGAGACCGCGTCTGTTTCAACTTGGGCCGTGAGCTCTATTTCTACCCAGGCTGCTGCCGCCGTGGGAGCCAACGGGTGAGCGGCCTGCATCGTGGGGCCCTGGGTGCTGAAAGGATGGACTTTCCAGAGAACTGATAGGAGGGTGCCTGAATTGATATAGGGCCCTGAGATAGGCATCCTAAATGTGATGGACGTCCTGGGGCAACAGCATTGGAGGGAGTACAAGATTCTGAAATACGATGGGAGGCCCGCGGGGTGCTGGGCAGGCATCTTTGAGGTGATGGGGGAAATCCCCTTTACCCCCGTTATGCGTAAGGGTTCTGGGATGGCGAGTATTGGACATGATGGGGTATCTGAGATGAGGTGGGATCCCCCGGGTTCTGGGGTGGCAGGTATTCTGCAGGTAATGGGGAATCATGAGGTGATGCAAGCTCAGAGGTGATGGAGAACCCAGTATTGCATTCTGGAGGTGTTGGAGAGGGGCTTGAAATTGAGCCCAGGAATGTGGAGAAGTCTAGAAGTGATGGATGCCTTGAAGGTAATAGGGGATCCAGAAGCTGAATGGGATCCTAGAGAAAATTGGGGTCTGGAGGTCATGAGGGTCCTGGAGGAGATAAGCGTCTGGAAGCTGATGGGAGCTCTCAAGGGGATGAGAAGCTCTGGCAGGCGAATCTGCAAGTGTGATTCAGGGCATCTCTAAAGCGATGTGGTGAGAACCTTGGGAAACTTATGGTGGCCCCAGAAATGATGGGGATCCTCAGATCCCTGAGGTAGTAAATGGGCCTAAAATGTGGGAGACTGTGAGTTTTGATGGGTCCCTGAACTGTGGCGGTATAGGGATTCCAAAGTGAAGCGAATACTAGGATGTTAGGCTTTAGAGTCCTGGGAATTTGGGTGACCTTGAGGTTTGGGGGTCTTGAAATAGTGTGGTACTATGTCCTAAGGGAGTTGCTGAGGTTATAGGGTGGAGTGGTGGGGCTAAAAGGAATCAGAGCTCAGGAACTGTGTGGCCCCAGAACCCTGAAGTTGTGGACAAGGGTGTCTCTGAATTAGGGGTGACCCAACTTGGGGGAGGCACTGTGGTCAAGGGGGATCCTTACTATCTTTTTTGCTATTCCGTCTGTGATTTAGGTCCCCTTCCCGTCTGTGGTTGCCCCCTCCTTCCCAATCCACCTACTCACCTCCCCACTTCCCTCTGGGTTCTAACCCTGCTTCCTCTTAGTGGTTTCCCCCAACCTCAACATCCTTTTCCTTCCCCTCAGTGGCATACACCATTAACTCCTTTTCTCCCACCCCTCAAGTCCATTGACCTCAACAAGCCAATTGACAAGCGGATCTACAAGGGCACCCAGCCCACCTGCCACGATTTCAACCAGTTCACTGCTGCCACCGAGACCATCTCCCTGCTGGTGGGCTTCTCAGCGGGTCAGGTGCAGTACCTCGATCTCATCAAAAAGGACACCAGCAAGCTGTTCAATGAGGAGGTGATTGCAGCCCCCAGAACCCCCAACTGCTCTGCCTTCTCACCTACCCACTATATGCCATTAGGTTTCAGCTGCCTGGGGACCAGTGTAGGCCTGAGAGGGGCAGGACCAGGGAGAGATGAGAATGGGGTGACAGCAGCTAATGACAGCTGCACTGTACCCAGGCCCTATGCTGTGTTACCCCTGTGCTGAATACTTTACTCCTTGAGTTTTATTTATTTATTTATTTATTTTATTTATTTTTTTGAGACGGAGTCTCACTCTGTCGCCCAGGCTGGAGTGCAGTGGCGTGATCTCCGCTCACTGCAAGCTCCACCTCCCGGGTTCACACCATTCTCCTGCCTCAGCCTCCCGAGTAGCTGGGACTACAGGCGCCCACCACCACGGCCAGCTAATTTTTTGTATTTTTAGTAGAGGCGGGGTTTCACCGTGTTAGCCAGGATGGTCTCAATCTCCTGACCTCATGATCCGCCTGCCTCGGCCTCCCAAAGTGCTGTTGTTACAGGCGTGAGCCACCATACCCGGTTTTTTTTTTTAATCGTAATTGTAATTTTTATTGTTTTTAATTTTTTTTTCCTTTTTGAGGCAGAATCTTGCTCTGTCACCCAGGCTGGAGCGCATTGGTACAATCTCTGCTTACTGCAACCTCTGCCTCCCCAGTTCAAGCAATTCCCCTGCCTCAGCCTCCTGAGTAGCTGGAATTATAGGTGCCCACCATCATACCTAGCTAATTTTTGTATTTTTGGTAGAGACTGGGTTTCACCATGTTAGCCAGACTGGTCTCAAACACCTGACCTCGTGATCCACCTGCCTTGCCCTCCGAAAGTGCTGGGATTACAGGCGTGAGCCACCACGCCTAGCCACTCCTTGAGTTTTCATCAACCAGTGGATGCAGAAGTGTGCTGCCCATTTTGCAGATTAGAGAATTGAGGCTAGTAAATAAGTTGGGACTTAGTTGATACCTTTGCTCTTTGAGTTCTGGGCTCTGGAGGCTTTGGATTCAAAGCCCTGCTGCACCACTTACTCACCGTGTGACTTTGGGAAGGTGACCATTCTCTGAGCCTCACTTCTCCTTCTCTGCAAAATGGGATTCCAGTTCCTACCTTGCAGAACCGCTGTTGTAGAATCATACATGGAGATTGCTCAGTCCTGGGCCAACTTGGCCTACGAGGAGATACCAGTAAACGACCTTATCCGCGGGCAGGGACTGCTCTTGGCTTCTGTCTCATTCTCTCTGGTCCAGAGGAGGTGTTCCATAAATATTCTCAGAATGAGTGAATGGCTGAAGGGAGTGAACGGAATAGTGAGCGGATTAAAAATTCATTAGCTCATCCATTCACAAATAGTTTTTGAGCATCCGTTCTGTGCCAGGCACCGTTCCCAGCAGTAGGGATATCACATCTCAGGGCCCTGGACAGGAGGCCCTGCCCTTTTGGAGCTTTCAGTCTAGCTGGGGAGATGGACAGTTAATCAAGTTAAGTCTTCATGTGTCAGCAGGTGATTAAGGCCTGTTTAGAAGAAACAGTGGGGAAGGGGCTGAGGGAAGCTTGAAGAGTCTAATAGGGTGGTCAGGAAAGCCCTCACTAAGAGGTGATATTGAAATAAAGACCTGAAGGAGGCAGGTGAGAAAAGTTGCCTGGGGAAGGGCATCTTTTTTTTTTTTTTTCTTTCAAGATAGGGTCTCACTCTGTCGTCCATGCTGAAGTGCAGTGATATGATCTTGGTTCACTGCAGCCTCCGCCTCCCAGGCTCAAGCAATCCTCCCATGTCAGCCTCCTGAGGAGCGGCGACTACAGGCATGCACCACCACAATTGGCTTGTATTTTTCATAGAGATGGGGTCTCTTTGTGTTGCCCAGACTGGTCTCGAACTCCTGGGCTCAAGCGATTCTCCTGCCTTGGCCTCCCAAAGTGCTGGGATTATAGGGCTGGGCCACCACACCCAGCCAAGAAGGACATTCTGAGTAGTGGGACCAGCTAGGACAAATGCAGGATAGCACAGAAGTCGTGTGGCCAGAGCAGTTACTGAGGGAGAGAGGATGGTAGATGAGTTCCAGGAAATAACAGAGGGGCCGGCTCATGGGGAGTCTGGAAGGCGGTGGAGAGACTTTGCCTTACTCTTAGTTGGAAACCTGTGGAGGAGCCTTTCTCGGTGGGGCTCAGCTGAGCCCTGGAAGGCAGAAGTGACTGGAGTGATTATTTGCTCAGTTCTCCCAAGGATGGGAGGCCTCTCATCCTGGGAGAGCAGCTCCTTAGTTGCATATGCTGACTGCCTGAGGGCATTAGAGCCTTGGGCTCTGGAACCCTGCTTGAGAGAGGCTGCTAAGCGTTCAGAGCAGGACAGTGCCAGGTGCTGACTGATACTTAACAGAGCATTGCTGTGGCTGCTGCAGAGGACAGACAGGCCCAGGCAGTGGAGCCTGAGGCCAGTCACACAACATTGCAGGCTTGGGGTGGCTGGATGGGATGGTGAGAGGAGGTCAGATTCTGGGTGTATTTTTTCTTTTTCTTTTGAGATGGAGTCTCGCTCTGTTGCCCAGGCTGGAGTACAGTGGCATGGTCTCTGCTCACTGCAACCTGCGCCTCCCGGGTTCAAGCAATTCTCCTGCCTCAGCCTCCTGAGTAGCTGGAACTACAGGCGCCCACCACCATGCCTGGCTAATTTTTGTATTTTTAGAAGAGATAGGGTTTCACCATATTGGCCAGGCTGGTCTGGAACTCCTGACTTTGTGATCCACCCGCCTTGCCCTCCCAAAGTGCTGGAAGTACAGGCGTGAGCCACCATGCCGGCCGATTCGGGGTGTATTTTGAAGATTGAGCCCACAGGATTTGTGGAAGGATTGGATGTGAGGAAAAGGGCAGGTGCCGAGGTTTTTTGTCTAAGCACCTAGCAGGATGGGGGGTTGTCACTCATTTGTCCAGGAATTACCTTCAAGCCGCCTCCTGTGTGCACTGCTTTAAAGAACAGCGAACCAAACAAAGATCCCTTCCTTTGGGGAGCTGGCTTTCTGTGAAGAAATTTCCTGCTTAAAGCCTGACATAGTAAAGATTGGGGGAGGGTTAGGTAGATAGAGCAGAGGTCCCCAACGTTTTTGGCACCAGGGACCGGCTTAGGGAAGACAGTCTTTCCACGAACTGCTGGGGGGATGGTTTTGGGATGAAACCGTTCCACCTCTGATCATCAGGTGTTAGATTCTAGTAAGGAGCGCACACCTAGCTCCCTCGCATGCGCAGTTCATGGTGGGGTTCGCGCTCCTATGAGGATCAAATGGTGCGCTGCTCCAGTAGGAGGCCGGGCTCAGGCTGTAATGCCTGCTCGCTCACCGCTCACCTTCTGCTGCATGGCCGGTTCCTAACAGGCCACGGACCACTATTGTTCCATGGCCCAGAGGTTGGGGACCCTGAGATACAGGACAATTCTATGGCAAGCAGGACTGTCCCCTCACCAAAGATGACACATTGAGGCTCCTTGGAGCAGCCCCTGTTCCCCCATGTCTTCATGACCCAGTATCCATCTGTCTTCCCCAGTTTGGGAGCTTCTCGTCGAGGAGGACCTGGGCCTGGTGTGGCATCTGCTGTGTGGGCGGGGCCGTGTCCAATGGCCTTGGGGACTTCAGGTTGGGGAGAAGGTCTGCCTGAGTTTTACTGCCTTCTCCCAACCCCACCCTGTCTCCCCTGGCAGCGGCTGATCGACAAGACCAAGGTGACGTATCTGAAGTGGCTGCCTGAGTCGGAGAGCCTGTTCCTGGCATCACACGCCAGTGGCCACCTGTACCTATACAACGTCAGCCACCCGTGCGCCTCGGCCCCACCCCAGTACAGCCTGCTGAAGCAGGGCGAGGGCTTCTCTGTCTATGCTGCCAAGAGCAAGGCGCCCCGCAACCCGCTGGCCAAGTGGGCGGTGGGCGAGGGGCCCCTCAACGAGTTCGCCTTCTCGCCTGATGGCCGGCACCTGGCCTGTGTGAGCCAGGATGGCTGCCTGCGCGTCTTCCACTTCGACTCCATGCTCCTGCGAGGGCTCATGAAGAGCTACTTTGGGGGCCTGCTGTGTGTGTGCTGGAGCCCCGACGGCCGTTACGTGGTGACAGGTGGTGAAGATGACCTGGTCACCGTGTGGTCCTTCACTGAGGGCCGCGTGGTGGCTCGAGGCCACGGCCACAAGTCCTGGGTCAACGCTGTGGCCTTCGACCCCTACACCACACGGGCAGAGGAGGCGACGACAGCAGCCGGTGCTGACGGGGAGCGGAGTGGCGAGGAGGAGGAGGAGGAGCCCGAGGCTGCGGGCACAGGCTCGGCCGGGGGTGCCCCACTCTCTCCACTGCCCAAGGCTGGCTCCATCACTTACCGCTTTGGCTCAGCGGGCCAGGACACACAATTCTGTCTGTGGGACCTCACTGAAGATGTGCTCTACCCGCACCCGCCCCTGACCCGCACGCGCACCCTGCCTGGCACTCCTGGCACCACGCCACCGGCCGCCAGCAGCTCGAGGGGTGGCGAGCCTGGCCCGGGCCCCTTGCCTCGCTCGCTGTCCCGCTCCAACAGCCTCCCGCACCCGGCGGGCGGGGGCAAGGCAGGCGGCCCGGGCGTGGCAGCAGAGCCTGGCACACCATTCAGCATCGGCCGCTTCGCCACGCTCACATTGCAGGAGCGGCGGGACCGGGGGGCCGAGAAGGAGCACAAGCGCTACCACAGCCTGGGCAACATCAGCCGGGGTGGCAGCGGCGGCAGTGGCAGTGGGGAGAAGCCCAGCGGCCCTATTCCCCGCAGCCGCCTGGACCCCGCCAAGGTGCTGGGCACCGCACTGTGCCCACGCATCCATGAGGTGCCCCTGCTGGAGCCCCTCGTGTGCAAGAAGATCGCCCAGGAGCGGCTCACAGTCCTCCTGTTTCTGGAGGACTGCATCATCACTGCCTGCCAGGAGGGCCTCATCTGCACCTGGGCCCGGCCGGGCAAGGCGGTGAGTGGCTCCATGCCAGCCTGCCGGGGACCTGGCAGGACCCTTGGTGGGAAGAAGCAGTCATTGGCAGAGACAGGGCTTTGTTGCTGTCACAGCCTCTGGCTTCGTGGGGTGAGGGGAAGCCATGGAAATCTTAGTGTCTCAGAACAAGACCTCTCAGATTTTAGAGTGAGGGGGGCTAGCCCCAGGTGGCAGGCAGCAGAGAGAGGGGTGGGTGTGAGAGCCAGCTGGGAGACGGGGCGTCCAAGGCTGGCTGTCTGAAGGGCAGCAGATGGGCCCCGCATGGCTAAGTCTTACTGCCTGTCACTGGAACCAAAATCTATTTCTATTGAACATCTGTTTTTTAAATGGTGAAACTTTTTTGAGTACTTCAGGCCAAAACTCTAGGGGCGAGCTCAAGCCTGTGGGCATGGCTGCCAGGCTGGTTCTGGACTCAGGATCTGAGCCTCCTGCTGAAGGCACAGTCTGGGAATCCCAGGCCTGGGTTCCAGTCCCACTCCCTGTGTGATCCCGGACAAGTCACTGCTCTCTCTAACCTCCAACTTATCACCTAAGTCTTAGAGCCTGTAGAATGGGCAGAGGGGGGATGCGTTTGCCTCCTGGGTGGGCTATGGTGTTGGAAAGGTCACAGTAGGCAAAAGCAGGCCTGGCATCTTGTCAGTCCGGAGCTTGTCTTGGGTGTCTCCGCTCCTTAGGGCTTGGACTCAGCTGCCCAGGGTCCTGGAGGCTGTGGTTTGGTTCCTCAGATCCTCGGTTTTGGTATCGTAGAGTCCTGAGTCCCTAGAACTTGAGAGTACAGTCTGAGTGCCTCAGAGGCAAGAGCGGTGGGATTTGGGGAGTCTGGTTGAGTCCTAAAAGAGACCCCTCTGTCTCCCTAGTTCACAGACGAGGAGACCGAGGCCCAGACAGGGGAAGGAAGTTGGCCCAGGTCACCCAGCAAGTCAGTGGTAGAGGTAGGACTGTCCCTGAGTTCTTTCCCCAGCACCTCAGGGTCCCTCCCAAGTTAGAAGGGAGCCCCAGTTTCCCCCTCGCCTCACACCCCTACCCTTACCCCATCATCTCACTCAGAATCTGCCGAGGACTTTGATTATTGAGTGAAAGTGCCGACTGGCAGGACAGGAAGCTAGCCAAGATGCAAATTCCCAACCTAGAGCAGCGGCCTCTGGGGGCTCTGGGGTGGACCCAAGGGCAAGGCCAGGGTGGCAGCAGCTTTGGGGACTCTGGGCTGGCTCCCTCCCCTTGACACTGGCTGAAGTCCACGTGGTCTCTAACCCCTCCCATCTCTCCCTCTCATCTTCCCCAGGGCATCTCCTCCCAACCAGGCAACTCCCCGAGCGGCACAGTGGTGTGAAGCCATGGATATCGGGCCCCTACCCCATGCCCCCAGCCTCCTAGCCATAACCCTCCCTGCTGACCTCATGGATCAACGTATTAACAAGACTAACTATGACAGATGGACTGCGCCGGTCCTCCAACCTGCACAAAATTTGGGGGCCCCCCCAGACTGGCCCAGACACTGGGGGAATGTAATGGCCCTTGTGGCCTCAGCCTTGTCCCCCACCCACTGCCAAGTACAATGACCTCTTCCTCTGAAACATCAGTGTTACCCTCATCCCTGTCCCCAGCATGTGACTGGTCACTCCTGGGGAGAGACTCCCCGACCCCACCACAAGAGCCCCAGGTCTGCAGTGTGCCCCTTAGTTGAGTGGGCAGGGCTGGGGGTGGTCCAGCCCTCACCCGGCCCCCACCCCAGCTGCCCTTGCTATTGTCTGTGCTTTTGAAGAGTGTTAAATTATGGAAGCCCCTCAGGTTCTTCCCTTCCCCCAGGACCTCTTATTTATACTAAAGTTCCCTGTTTTCTCAGCGGCTCTGTCCCCTTCGGAGGAGGTGGTGTAGAGGACCTGTGTGTGTGCTCTGCGGTTCCAGGCAGTCCACTTTCCCCAGAGGAGGAGTGCAGGCCTGCTCCTGGCCCAGCGCCTCCCACCCCTTTTCATAGCAGGAAAAGCCGGAGCCCAGGGAGGGAACGGATCTGCGAGTCACACGGCTGGTGACCCACACCAGCGACTGGAGCAGGGCCCTCGGGGGGAAGAGCATCCTGCTCTCGGCCAGGGCCCCTCATCAAAGTCCTCATTGGGTTTTTAAAATTCTCAAAACTGCCCAGAACCTCATTTCCCAAGCCCTGCCCAGCTGGGACTCCTGGTCCTTGCCTCGTTTCTCAGGCCTGGCCCTCTCAAGGCCCAGGCACCCCAGGCCAGCTGGAGGCCCCGACTTCCACTCTGGAGAATGGTCCATACTGGAAAGAAGAGCTTAGATCCCTCCTGGCTCTCGGAGCCACAGGGAGTGTCTTCCCGCGCCACCCTCCACCCCCCGAAATGTTTCTGTTTCTAATCCCAGCCTGGGCAGGAATGTGGCTTCCCGGCCAGGGGCCAAGGAGCTATTTTGGGGTCTCCTTTGCCTGGGGAGGGCTTGGCTCCACCACTTGCCTCCCCCAGGCTTTGGGCAGCGGGTCACCCCTGTTCAGGCTCTGAGGGTGCCCCCTCCTGGTCCTCTCCTCACCACCCCTTCCCCACCTCCTGGAAAAAAAAAAGTGTAAAGCAGAGAGCCTGAGGGCTAAATTTAACTGTCCCAGTCGGAATCCATCTCTGAGTCACCCAAGAAGCTGCCCTGGCCTCCCGCCCCCTTCCCAGGCCTCAGCCCCTTTCTCCTACCCAGCCCTCAGCCCCCAGCCCCCAGCCCCCAGCGCCTAGCTCTGGAACTTGTCAGGAGCAAGGGGGTGGTTGCTACTGGGTCACTCAGCCTCGACTGGCCCCTTTTTAGTAATGGGCAGGTTCCTTTTGGAATCCATCACACCTGTGGCTTCCTCTGTGCTCTACCTTTTTATTGGGGTGACAGTGTGAGAGCTGAGATTCTCCATCCATCCCCTCTAGCACTGAAGGGTTCTGAAGGGCCCTGGAAGGAGGGAGCTTGGGGGGTGGTTTGTGAGGGGTTAAGGCTGGGAGGCGGGAGGGGGGCTGGACCAAGGGGTGGGGAGAAGGGGAGGAGGCCTCAGCAGCAGAGAGAAGTGGCCAGAGAGGCCCAGGGGACAGTCAGGGACAGGCAGACATGCAGCCAGTGCTCCAGGGTCTGGACAGGGGCTGCCAGGCCCCGTGACAGGAGGACCCCGAGCCCCCGGCCCGGGGAGGGGCCATGGTGCTGCCTGTCCAACATGTCAGCCGAGGTGCGGCTGAGGCAGCTCCAGCAGCTGGTGTTGGACCCCGGCTTCCTGGGGCTGGAGCCCCTGCTCGACCTTCTCCTGGGCGTCCACCAGGAGCTGGGTGCCTCCGAACTGGCCCAGGACAAGTACGTGGCCGACTTCTTGCAGTGGGGTGAGTGCCTGCCCTCAGGGCTCCTGCAGATGGGGTGGGGGTGGGGCAGGAGACAGGTCTGGGCACAGAGGCCTGGCTGTTGTGGGGGCAGGATGGCAGGATGGGCATGGGAAGATTCTCCCATCTTGGGGCTCAGAGCGTGGACCTGAGTCCTGGGACAACATTTCTCTGTCCTATGCCACCACCCTGGAGGGGCAGAGTAAGGTCAGCAGAGGCCAGGGTGGCTATGACTCAGAGCCATGGCTTAGGAGTCACAGCAGGCTACACTGCCAACAGCCTCCCATGGCCTCTCTGCACCCTGCCTCAGGGACAGGGCCAGTGTCATGCTGGGAGCTCCCTCTCCTAGGACCCTCTCCCCAAAAGTGGGCTCTATGGCCCACTCCCTTGGTTTCCTGCAGCCCGGGGCAAGCCAGGAGGGCCAGCATGGGGCAGCTGCCAGGGGCGCAGCCGACAGGCAGGTGTTCGGCGCCAGCCTCTCCAGCTGCCCCAACAGGTGCCCAGGCACTGGGAGGGCGGTGACTCACGCGGGCCCTGGGGGAGAACCAGCTTTGCAGACAGGCGCCACCAGCGCCCCCTCCTCTGTGATCCAGGAGGGACAACTTTGGGTTCTTCTGGGTGTGCCTCCTTTTGTAGGTTCTGCACCCACCCCCACCCCCAGCCCCAAAGTCTCGGTCCCTATGAGCCGTGTGGGTCAGCCACCATTCTCGCCACCCCAGCTCCCTGCGTCCTTTAGTTCTCCTGGCCCACGGCCTCCAACCTTCCAGCTGCCCCACAAAGCCCCTTCTTGCAAGGACTTTCCAGGGCCTGGGGCCAGGGCTGGAAGGAGGATGCTTCCACTTCTGCCAGCTGCCTTGTCCGCCCACCTCCTCCCCAAGCCCAGGACTCGGGCTCACTGGTCACTGGTTTCTTTCACTCCCAGCACCCTGCCCCTCTGGCCCTCACGTGCCTGGCCCTCAGCGACTGGCACTTGGTCTTTGGTCTGTGTGTGACAAACTATGTGACACTTGTTTCCTTTTTCTCCACTTTCCCCTGCTTCCTCTTGTGTCCATCTCTTTGTGACCCAGGTCTGGTTCCTCTCCCTCCTCCTCCCATTTCACAGATGGGAAGGCGGAGGCCAAGAAGGGCCAGGCACTCAGCCTCTGGAAAAACCTTCTCCCAACCTCCCGCAGCCCCTAATGACTCTCCTGGCCCCCCTTTAACAGAGGATGAAGTTGGGCTGGCAGGGTAAACTGAGACCGGGCGGGGTAGGGGTCTGGCGCTCCAGGGAGGAGCACTCCTTTTGTGGCCCGAGCTGCATCTTGCGGCCCCTCCCCTGCCAGGCCTGGGGCGGGGGAGGGGGCCTGGGTTCCTGCTGCCTTAAAAGGGCTCAATGTCTTGGCTCTCTCCTCCCTCCCCCGTCCTCAGCCCTGGCTGGTTCGTCCCTGCTGGCCCACTCTCCTGGAACCCCCCAAAACCCCTCTCTCTCCTCCAGAACCCACTGTCTCTTCTCCTTCCCTCTCCTCCCATACCCATCCCTCTCCATCCTGCCTCCACTTCTTCCACCCCTGGGAGTCCAGGCCTCCCTGTCCCCAAGGTCCCTGAGCCACAAGCCTCCACCCCAGCCGGTCCCCCACCCAAGCTGCCCTGTTTAACATTCCTAGTCATAGGACCTTGACTTCTGAGAGTCCTGATTGTCATCTGTAAATAAGGGGTAGGACTAAAGCCCTCCTCCTGGAGGACTGAGAGATGGGCTGGACCAGTGCACTTGAGTCTAGGATGTGTGACCATGCCGGCTTTGTCTCCCTGTCCTGTTCCTTCCCCCAGCCCCAGATCCAGGGTTTCCCAAAGTGTGGTTCAAGAACCACCTGTATCTGAATCTAGAGGTACTGGATACAACCCCACGTCTGGGCCATTACCCAGGACATTCTACATGAGAACGAGGGGGTGGGGCCCTGGCTGCGCCTGAACTGTCACCTGGAGTCGGGGTGGAGGACTGGAAGCCCAGGAAGGTGGAAGAACTGGGTCTTATTTCCTTCTCCCCTTGTTCTTTAGGGTCTGCCCTTCTGCGGACTTTGTTACCCCACCCTCACCGTCCTGCACACCCTTGGAGCCCTCTGGTCCAATGCCCTGTCCCGCAAAGGGCTTCCCAGGCATCTCGCCTCTATGGGAGGGCAGTTTTGGGTCCCTAGAACCTTACACAGTGTTTATGTGGGGAAGCTCTTGGGAAGCAGACAGTCCTAGGGTGAAGCTGAGAGGCAGAGAGAAGGGGAGACAGAAGGTGGGGCTTTTCCCCTTGTCTCCAGTGCCTTTTCTGGTGACCCTCGGTTCTTTTCCCCCACCACGCCCCCAGCGGAGCCCATCGTGGTGAGGCTTAAGGAGGTCCGACTGCACAGGGACGACTTCGAGATTCTGAAGGTGATCGGACGCGGGGCGTTCAGTGAGGTAAGCTCAACTGGTCGGGAGCCCGACTTGACTTGTGGTGGGTGGGGCATAGGGGTTGGGGTGGGGCCTTAGAAATTGATGAATGACCAAGCCTTAGAACCTAGGGCTGGGCTGGAGGCGGGGCTTAGGACCAATGGGCGTGGTGCGGCAGGTGGGGCGGAGCCACGACTGGGTGCAGAAGGGGGTGGAGTTGGGTCTCGGCGAGCCCTTCTGTTTTCCCGCCGTCTCCACCTTGTCTGCCTGTCTTGGCCTCAGGTAGCGGTGGTGAAGATGAAGCAGACGGGCCAGGTGTACGCCATGAAGATCATGAACAAGTGGGACATGCTGAAGAGGGGCGAGGTGAGGGGCTGGGCGGGCGTGGGGGGCTTTGAGGATCCGCGCCCTCTCTCCGGCTGCAGCTCCTCCGGGTGCCCTGCAGGTGTCGTGCTTCCGTGAGGAGAGGGACGTGTTGGTGAATGGGGACCGGCGGTGGATCACGCAGCTGCATTTCGCCTTCCAGGATGAGAACTACCTGGTGAGCTCCGGGCTGGGGTGACTGGGAAGAGGTACAGAGCCCATGCTGTCGCTGGATGAGGAGGTGGGGAGAGGAAGCTCTAGGATTGGGGGTGCTGCCCACCACAAGTCTCCCACGCCTGTGGGAGAGTCTGTGTGCAGTAAGAGGGTGTGTCAGGTGGATGAGGGGCCTTCCTTATCTTGGACGGGGATGGTGTCCCTCAGTGCCCCTTTCTGGGGTGTTTTGGGGGACTCATATAAAGATGTCTCTGTTGGGGGGGGTCTCTTACCTGGAATGGGATAGGTCTTCAGAAATTCTAACGGGGCCACTGCCTAGGGAGGGAGTGTCTGGGACCTATTCTCTGGGTGTTGAGTGGTCTATGAGTTCTCTTTCCCAGAACATCTCAGGGAGAGTGAATCTGCCCAGTGACATTCCAGGAAAGGTTTTTTGTTTGTGTTTTTTTTCGAGGGGCAGGGGGCGGGGGCCGCAGGTGGTCTCTGATTTGGCCTGGCAGATCTCCGTGGTTATCTCTGGGCTGGGGCTGCAGGTCTCTGCCCAGGGATGGGGTGTCTCTGGCAGTGGTTGTCCCGGCCATCCGTGATGGATCAGGGCCTCGGGACTACCAGCCACCCATGACGAACCCCTTCTCAGTACCTGGTCATGGAGTATTACGTGGGTGGGGACCTGCTGACACTGCTGAGCAAGTTTGGGGAGCGGATTCCGGCCGAGATGGCGCGCTTCTACCTGGCGGAGATTGTCATGGCCATAGATTCGGTGCACCGGCTCGGCTACGTGCACAGGTGTGTGTGGCATGGCTGAGGGCTAGGGCGAGGGGATAGCAAGCTTGTTCCCTGGCAGGGTTCTTGGAAGGTCAGAGCCCAGAGAGGCCAGGGCCTAGAGAGGGACCTCCTTGGTTGGGGCCCACTGGGGCGTGCCCGGGAGTAGGGTCCAGAACTGTAGAATCCCTACAGGGGTGGAACCCAAGGAAGTGGGGCCCCAGGTGGCACTGCCCAGAGGGGCAGAGCCTGGTGGGACCACAGAAGGGAGGTTCACTTATCCCACCCTTCTCCTTTCCTCGGTGCAGGGACATCAAACCCGACAACATCCTGCTGGACCGCTGTGGCCACATCCGCCTGGCCGACTTCGGCTCCTGTCTCAAGCTGCAGGCAGATGGAACGGTGAGCCAGTGCCCTGGCCACAGAGCAACTCGGGCTGCTAATGAGGGATGGGAGGTGCAGAGTGTGGGGGCAGGACTGGATTTGGAGGGGGAAGGAGGAGGTGACCCAGGCCTAAGTGTGCATCTGTGTGGCGGAGCATTAGAGCAGGCAGAGGGAGAGGCTAAGCATTTGGGGAGTGGTTGGAAGGAGGGCCCAGAGCTGGTGGGCCCAGAGGGGTGGGCCCAAGCCTCGCTCTGCTCCTTTTGGTCCAGGTGCGGTCACTGGTGGCTGTGGGCACCCCAGACTACCTGTCCCCCGAGATCCTGCAGGCTGTCGGCGGTGGGCCTGGGACAGGCAGCTATGGGCCAGAGTGTGACTGGTGGGCGCTGGGTGTGTTCGCCTATGAAATGTTCTACGGGCAGACGCCCTTCTACGCGGATTCCACGGCGGAGACCTACGGCAAGATCGTCCACTACAAGGTGAGCATGGCCCCAGGGAGCCCTGGCCTCTCCAGGTAGGCGCTCCCCAACTATCGCCTCCTCTCCCTCTCCCTCTGAGCAGGAGCACCTCTCTCTGCCGCTGGCAGACGAAGGGGTCCCTGAGGAGGCTCAAGACCTCATCCAGCGTCTGCTGTGTCCCCCGGAGACACGGCTGGGCCGGGGTGGAGCAGGTGACTTCCGGACACATCCCTTCTTCTTTGGCCTCGACTGGGATGGTCTCCGAGACAGCATGCCCCCCTTTACACCGGATTTCGAAGGTGCCACTGACACATGCAACTTCGACTTGGTGGAGGACGGGCTCACTGCCATGGTGAGCGGGGGCGGGGTAGGTACCTGCGGCCCCTGCTCGGCTGCGGGAACCTCCCCATGCTCCCTCCATAAAGCTGGAGTAAGGACAGTGCCTACCTCCTGGGGTCCTGAACCACTCATTCCCCAGAGCACCTGCTGTGTGCCCATCTAGTGCTGAGGACCCAGCAGTGACCTAGACTTTAGTCCAGTGGGGAAACACAGACCAGTCTTCAGACAGTGAAGCCCCAGAATGATCAGGGCTGAGACAATGGAGTGCAGGGGGTGGGGGGCTCCTGACTCAGCAAGGAAGGTCCTGGAGGGCTTCCTGGAGTGGGGAGCTATCTGAGCTGAGACTTCGAGAGATGAGAAGCGGGAGAGGACTCCTCCTCCCTCAGGCTGGCTCTCTTCACCGTGTAACGAGCTGTCGTGGAATGCTTGCTTGGCTCTGGGTGCCCTTTTGCTGGACAATACTGGGGATCCAGCACTGACCAGATCATCTCTGGTCCCTGCCCTCATCCACTTGCAGTCTAGAGAATTAGAGAATTATGGAGAGAGTGGCAGGTACCCTGAAGGGAAGCAACAGGATACAAGAAAAAATAGTGGGGCCAGGCGCCGTGGCTCACGCCTGTAACCCCAGTACTTTGGGAGGCCGAAGCGAGTGGATTGTTTGAGCCCAGGAGTTCAAGACCAGCCTGGGCAATGTGGTGAGACCCTATCTCTACAAAAATGTTTAAAAAATTGGCTGGGTGTGGCATGCCTGTATACTCAGCTCCTAGGGAGGCCGACCTGGGAGGCTCACTTGAGCCCAGGAGGTCAAGGCTGCAGTGAGCTGTGATTGTGCCACTGTATTCCCGCCTGAGCAACAGAGAGAGACTCTGTCTCAAAAATAAGATAAAATTAAATTGAAATTTTAAAATAGGCTGGGCTGCGGCCGGGCGCTGTGGCACATGCCTGTAATTCCAGCACTTTGGGAGTCCGAGGTGGGCGGATCACGAGATCAGGAGTTTGAGGCCAGCCTGGCCAACATGGTGAAACCCTGTCTCTACTAAAAATACAAGAAAAGTCGCTGGGCGTGGTCGTGGTTGCCTGTAATCCCAGCTACTGGGGAAGTTGAGGCAGGAGAATCGCTTGAACCCGGGAGGCAGAGTTTGCAGTGAGCCAAGATCATGCCACTGCACTGCAGTCTGGGTGACAGAGTGAGACTCTGTCTCAAAAAAAAGAGAAAAAAGAAATAGGCTGGGCAAGATGGTTCACGCCTATAATCCCAGAACTTTGGAAGGCTGAGGCAGACAGGTCACTGGAGGTCAGGAGTTCAAGACCAGCCTGGCCAACATGGTGAAACCCTGTGTCTACTAAAAATACAACATTTAGCCAGGCTTGGTGGTGTGTGCCTGTTGTCCCAGCTACTCAGGAGGCTGAGGCAGGAGAATTGCTTGAACCTGGGAGGCGGAGTCTGCAGTGAGCTGGGATCGTGCCACTATACTCTAGACTGGGA